ATGGTTCACAGATAATATTAGATATTAAATATTCTATGATTTCAGTAAAATAATAAGTCTGTGGACCATGGACAAGATTTCACTTCATTTTAATTTTTTAGTTTTTTTTATTTTATTTTTATTTATTTTTTAATTATGTTATGTGTGTTTTGCGCAAAAATAAATGGTTTTTCTTTCTTTTCTTCTTCTTCTATTTTTCTAAGACCTTCTAAGAACTTCAAATACCACAGAAGTCTTAAAACCTGCGCCATCACCAATTTACAAGGCCTCACATCACGTGAACTGCAAACTTTGGAACCTGAATCATTAATATCTTGCAGAAAGCTTTTAACAAATTGTTAGGAACAAAAAGGCTTGCCCGCTTTGTGGACGCGAACGGCTACAATTACAAACCACTTTGGATGTAATTAATTTTTAATTGCAGCTCGCAATTTGAAGGAATTGTTGGTCTGATGCTAGCATACTTATTTGTATTTTTTTTTTTTGTAATTAGGTATATCCTAAGTGTGGGAGATCCATGCTTCGACACGAATGGGCTGGCTCGACCGGACTGATACCAAGGCCTCACAGAAAACCGACGTGAAACAACGCTTGCGTTGTATTTCGTCTTGTGAATGAGGTTACCCGGAGGCCCAATTACCCGTCTCCCGAATCCCCGAGTCCTCGACAATCCCTTAATTCCCAAAATGCCGGTATAACGCACTTGTAACGCCTTGGTGTTTCGAGTGTCCATGGGCGACGCCGATTGCTTACCATCAGGTGACCCGTCTGTTCGTTTACCGGCTTATGCTATAAAAAAAATCTTTATTTTCTGCTTTTATTTGGTTGACAATGAGGTTGTTGAGTAGGTAGGGTAATATTTGCCTGGGTTCAGTTAAGGTTTTTGATTTACTGAGAATGGTACATATTTTGAAATTCTGTCTGATTTTAGACTTTAGTCCCTAATGGATCGAGTGAAATAACTGCCCAACATTAGATTACTATACTGCCATATACATGTAAACTCGCAGATCCTTTATCCATCTATTATTGTCCTTAAGGTTATTTTCTTTTGCGATCTCTTTGAGTGGACTTAAGTGTTACATTGTTCTCACACAATCCAAACAACAAAACTATGTAACTAGTAAATTATATTGCGAACCTGTTTGAAAAAAAGTAACCCATGGAGTTTCTTGCATGTTCTTCTCCATAGCATAGGAATCTACACCTTGGAATGAGTAAATAGCTTCACCTTTAATTTTTTGTTGACGTTCAAAAATGCCTTTCGGTCTAATTGAAATAAATGATTTTGACTTTGACTTTGATCTTTGTTAAAACTAAAAAGATTATGAAATGACTAACCAAAAAATTATTCATTGGTTTGCTAACGTAGTAGGTATCTGCTAATATCTTTGGGAATAAAAGTTGCGATGTTACGTTTACAAAGAACAGAGTGCTCAAGTATTCTTGAAAAAATTGGACCTGAAAGGACTTTGATCCCGAACTTCTTGATAAATGAAACTTTCAAGATCGGCAAAATTAATAGAATATCAAATTAGTACAAGATCTTCGTCGTGGGTACTTCAGGAGTTTATCTAGTTTTTGCAGGTTTAAGTTTAAGGTCAAATACTTGGCTCAAAAACTACATTATTTAAAGTAAACAAAGAGAAATATGTAACGAACTGGAAATCACTGATGAAGATCTTTGTTGAGCAGTAGACGTATTGTAGCTGATGATAACGATAAAAAAAGATATATGAAAGTTAAAGTGGTCGTAACTTGGTGCATATTCAATCGTTTTAAGTGTAGGAGAGCGATACTATGATCTTACAGAAAACCGGAAAACTACGCTTGCGTTGTGTTTCGTCGTGTGCACGAGGTTAAAGGAAGTCCCCCCCAATCTCCCCAACAATCCTCAAATTCCTAATCCCCAAATGGCCGGTAACGCACTTGTAAAGCTTCTGGTGTTCCAGGTGTCCATGGGCGACGCCGATTGCTTACCATCAGACGATTCGTTTGCTCGTTTACCAGCTTATATCATAAAAAATCGTAACTTTCAATAGCAGCGTCAGCAGTTAGCAGTCTTAGACTCGTTTTAAGTAGCTGTTAGGTATTTTAACTTGTAATTTATTCACGAAAAGTCGTAAATTATGTGATGCACAACTCACCAAAAGACAAAGGCCGTACATAAGAAGATTTCTTCAAAGATTCAGACAAAAGTTTAAAAAACTTGGCATTCATTTGTCGACAACTTTCAACACGGCCACTTGAAATGCACAGTAAATTCGTTTCTAACGACGCCGACGTACAGTTAGCAGTGAAAGTTGCTGCATTAACAGTACGGGCACAATGCCAGATAAAGATAAATTAAAAACTTTTAGCAGGGTTGTAATTAAAAGTGGGTTTCAAGGGATTTAGTCAGATAATAATAAGAATCGTGTCACAGAAACGAGGTTGTGAACTCCCTGTTTGATGTTGGTTGCCGAGGAAAAGGTATAATTGTGGTTTTCATTTTTTGGTTACATCAACAGCCTATAAGTGCTTACTTCTGACCAAAGCCTCTTCTCACACAGAGACAGTTTGAGCATTAATCACCACGCTTGCTCACTGCTGCGGTTGACGATTTTAAACTAATTATATTAGAAATTATAAATCCAGATTTTCTCACGATTCAGACCACCACAGATGGGCCGAACAGGGCTGATGCCGATGATGTACGGAGCCGCGGAAGACTTAACGGGTTGCCGGGGCTCCGGCTCGAAGTCCAGGAGTAGGAACGGGGTGGTTTTTAGTCAGTAAGAGTCTGACCCTCCCTCCCGCCTCACCCGGGCGGGAGAAGTCATTAACGGGTTGCCGGGGCTCCGGCTCGAAGTCCAGGAGTAGGAACGGGGTGGTTTTTAGTCAGTAAGAGTCTGACACTCCCTCCCGCCTCACCCGGGCGGGAGAAGTCATTGGACCAAAAAATAAACTATTCATCTACTCAAAAAATACTTAAGCTATGTTAATTTTCAATGAAATGTTCCTGAAAATAATATTTTGATAACACGGCATACAGTGACGAACTTCCAATAGCTTTCCTTACAGACGTTTCACAAAATTATGCTTTCAGTATTACAGCTGAAGCTCATGAAACTTTTTGAAAGACAAACAATAATGAACGTTTAACGAAGTTATTACTTGGATGCTGTCCAAAAAGTATTATAGGTAGGTACTTGTTCTAAAATAATAAGCATCGAAGATAAAGTAATGCAATACCGATACGATCAAGAAAAGAGTGTACTCCTTTTTAAAAGGCCGGCAACACACCTGTTACTTATCTGGTGTTGTGGGTGTCCTTGGGCGGCGCTGATCGCTTACCATCAGGTGATTCGTCTGCTCGATTGCCTCCTATCCCATAATGTATTTTTTTATTGTGGCATAGGCATAGTTGTACTTGATAATGTTATTGAAAATATGACATAACATAACAACACGCCTTTTATCCCAGAAGGGTACGTGCACATTACGGCACTTAATACCACTGTGAAATATAACACTCACTTTACACTATTTATGTTTTGAGTCCCATGTAATAGGGGGTGAGCCTATTGCCATATACCGGGCACAATTCCAAACTCTATGCAACGACTGAGATTTTTTTTTAAAACTCGATAATTTTTTTGCCCTATCCGGGAATCGATCCACGACTATTATGAGGCAATTGAAAACATTATTTAATTATATTGCCAATAATTTAATTATATTGCCAATAAAAACGTGTCGCGGGTTCGATTCCTGCATGGAACAACTCTTTGTGTGATCCACAGATTGTTGTTCCGGGTCTGGGTGTCATGTGTATGTGAACTTGTATGTTTGTAAACGCACCCACAACACAGGAGAAAATCCTAGCGTGGGGCAACGTTTTTTTTAAAAAAAGAAAAATAGTTTAATAAGTTATACGAACATATTCGTTAGCAAATGTTGGCTTGAGTATTGGAACAGATAATACGTCGAAGGGAACTGCCTGACCTATTCTCACATGTCTAAATTGGCACCATGTTACAACAATAGACAGATACATACAATTCCTATGAATATTGACTTACCTGGCCTGCTCGTTATAAATACACAACTGAATCAAATCCCCAACGCCTTGCACAGTCGGTCAGCATCTCGACAAATATCTAGGAAGGGCGAGATATGTACCGTCACTAAAATATGTATAAAGATATAACGGTAACGCACTTGCAACGCCTCTGGTGTTCCAGGTGTCCATAGGCGTCGATTGCTTACCATCAGGTGATCCGTCTGCTCGTTTACCGGCTTATGAAAATTGCCAAAATATGCGAAGATGCCAATAAGTTAATTTGAAATAAATAATTATCACCTTTGGTCTCCGATGGTAGGTAGAGGTGCAAGTTACGGTACTTAATTCCACTGTACAATGTACCCGCTTTTCACGATTCATATTATAAGTCTTGTAATAGGGGGTGAGCCTATTGCCATATACCGGGCACAATTCCAGACTCCGTACTACTACTGAGAATTTTTTGAAAAACCTAGCCATACTTTGCTCGGCAGTCGCACCAGCGATACCACTCGGCAAATTTGAGTTATTTCTAATAGTCACCAATCTACTACTAGGTCTTGTCATTGTCTGAAGGTGATCTATCTAGCCACCAATAACAGTGCAGTACAGTCGAAGACGCATTTGTCGAAGAACCGATGACCGCTGGGGTAGACGTGTTCTAGAGTGGAAACCGCTTATAGGCAAACATCGTGTAGGGCGCCCTCCAGCTAGGTGGAGTGACGATATACGTAAAGTGGCTGGTAGTGGTTGGATGCGTAGAGCTGAAGATCGAGCTCAGTGGCGTGCCATTGGAGAGGCTATAATGTCCAGCAGTGGACGGAAACAGGCTGTTGATGATGATGACCTACAGTCGTATCTACTAAAAAATGAACCATATCCCTTCTCTTAACATGAATATCAAGAAAAATACACTCTACAACACAAACAGATACAAAATTAAAAGGGTACTCACCAGAAACCTTACGAGCAGTTCAATTGTGAACCACACATTGCATACAAGCTCAATATAAAAGAATGCTGCATGTGGCTTCCCATTGTCATGCCACAGCATCTCCAGGGACTCAGACCCGTTCTCTCTCAGTATGCTGTCGTGGCTGAAGACCCGAAGGTCAGGGTGTGTCTTCAGGCAGAACGACAGGACAGATATGCAGATGAAGAAGACGGATATTGCTGATATCACCTGTGGGAGAAAAAAAAGAAAATGTTACTGGGTTATTTTTTTTTAATAAAAACGTTACCCCACACTAGAATTTTCTCCTGTGTCGCGGGTCCGTTTACAAACATACAAGTTCACATACACATGACACCCAGACCCGGAACAATAATCTGTGGATCACACAGAGAGTTGCTCCGAGCGGGTATCGAAACGGCAGCCGGTTGCCCAGTTATTGTACCAAAGGTGCCGTCAATTCCTATTGGATCTATTGCCCGTGGTGGTATTCAAACGTCGATAAAGCATAGCACCTCATAATGCATGTTAAAAATAGCAAACATATTTCAGCATCAATAGATCGGCTCGACTGAAGTAATACCACTGCTTTACAGGAAACCGGTGTCAAATGACAAATACGTTGTGTTTCACCATGTAAGTGAAATTTTCCGGAGATCTAATCCCCTAAAAAGGTCAGCACTTTTTCTGCGAGAACACAGGCATTGCAGATGTCTATAGGTGGCACTGATTGCTTACCTAGTCACCAGAATAAAAAGAGAATTAAAGGGGAAAAAAATACTACAACTTTAAAGTTGCTTTCTCAAACTCACTACCGCAAAATCCATTTCACGATTGAGAATTTTTGAAACGAATGCTCAAAATATTTTGTTCACCTGTGTACGAGCACTGGGTCATTAATCGTGGCCATTATAAAAACAAACCATGGTGAATCATTTATATGGGAATCACAAATACATTATCATTCCTCACAGTACAATCACAAAGGACATTAGATTTTGCGAGGTGTTTTTAAAACCGCATTTACACACATACCGGTGTAACATCGTCAATCATTGTGTTATTCTGCGGTAGACAGCGCGGATTTAGACTGTCCAAGTTATAAGCTGTAAAAAATAGGCTCGAGGTAAATATAATGATGATCGTAGATCAGGTGATTCGTTTATTTTGCCTTTTATCTTATAAAAATATTGGTTCCGGGGCCAAAGGCCAATTATTTAATATTCAAAATTTTGATAATAGCGAGAATTATTATTTTCATAGGTTCGACCCCTCTTCCTTGACTAATTTAAGTACCTATTTTGAAAGTTATTACGCGATCTCATTTTTTTCCAAATCCGCTTATTTATTTCTTTCATTTCTACTTTTTACATACATACATACATAACTTCACGCCTGTCTCCCATGGGGGTAGGCAGAGACTAAGGAACGCCAATTACTACGATTCTTACATACCTCTTTCGCTTCATTAACAGTCATCAATCTTTTCATGCATGCTCGTCGGTAAACTTTTAAACTCTTTCTACTTTTTATAACATAATAATAAACAAAATCATTTAAAATAATATAAAACATTGTTTTACTGTTTTTGTTGTACAAACAAATTGTCCCCTCCGCTCCTGCTTATAACTTACACCAAACATAACACGTAATTTGTCACAATGCTGTGACGCATAAATATTTAGTGAGGATCGCACCGACGATCTAGTTCCGTACACAAATATATGATATTCACACTTCATAATATTTTTAAAATATTCACGTGAATGACATAACATAACATAACATCACGCCTTTTATCCCCGAAGGGGTAGGCAGAGGTGTACATTATACCACTGTACAATGTAACACCCACTTTTCAATATTTATGTTATGAGTCCCATATAATAGGGGGTGAGCCTATTGCCATATACCGGGCACAATTCCAGACTCCGTGCTCCTATGGGGAATATTTAAAAACCCAGTAATACTTTGCCTGACCCGGGAATCGAACCCGAGACCCATTGCCCGGCAGTCGCACTTACGACCACTCGGCCAACGAGGCATTCACATGAATGTTCTCCGTAATATTGAGAGAGAAAACCTTTTCTATCTGGTTCGTATTGATTGTGATAACTTCGAAATTAGAATCTGGTATTTTCGGATTCATACATGTTTGCCACTCAATGTTACAACGCTGACAGCAACATATATTCTGTGATCAATTATCTAACTATCACCAGTCGTGAGACACAGTCTTCTGATAGACTGACGGACAGTGGAGGCTTATTAATAGGATTCTGGTTCTACCTTACGGCGCGTCGCGTTCCGCGCGCGCCTCAAAGAGCCATCAGACCACCACAGATGGGGCCCAATAGGGCCGATGCCGATTTGGAGTCGCGGAGAACCTAACGGGTAACCGAGGCTCCAGCTCGACGTGCAGGAGAAGGAACGGGGTGGTTTTTAGTCAGTAAGAGTCTGACACTCCCTCCCGCCTCACCCAGGCGGGAGAAGTCATTGGATGATTTCCCCCCTCAAAAAAAAAAGGCGGGAGCAGCCATTCGATGATTTTACCACCTTAAAAAAAAGCCTGGGGACGCAACCTTATAAACGTTGTAAAAAAGTACGTCACTACGCATGAAGCGAGTCCCTTTTTATAGATTTTGTAGGTTACTGATTTATCAATGGTGAGATAAAAAATACACTAATTTATGGTTGATTAATGAATATATTATATTCTACAAATAATGGTTTAAATGGTTAATACTAAAAGATATTTATAAACCTACTTAACTCGCAATTTATATTTTAAATTATTTTTATTAATTTATTCTTTGTAACAATTAAAAATAGTATTTTAATAGCAACGTGAATCTTAAAACCTCTCTATTCACAACAGTAATCACAAATGTTCAACAAATCCTGTGAATAATTCATACTATTCTTAGATTTAGCTACCACAGAATTTCTGAGGACAAAATACTAACAGAACTGAAGCTGTATTAAAACAAATAGATGGACACTGGACAAGTTCAATAAGACATTGTCATATATTTACTATATACTTTAAGTTTATAACTTAACCAGTTTATCTATGGTCTCTCTTTATACGATCTTTTAGCACAATAGACGGTCAGTTTATACTGGTTTATCATAGCTTGATGTGAAACCTTGTGCACTAGAACTAACAAACGTAGGTATTTACCCACAAGCTACATTTCTGGAGGTACTGTTTTGATAGAAAATATTTTTAAGATGTGGGTACTGCTATCTGCTACTAGCGACTTAAGTAATGATTTATGTTGTAAGACTAAAAAAAACATTTGAAGGTTTCGAGTTGACTTCACGGTTCGGGTAGTGGCTAGACAAGGCTTGATTGACTCCAACATGGAACAACTCTTTGTGTAATACAAAAATTATTGATCTGGATCTGGGTGTGACGTGTATGTGATATGAAGTATTTGGAGGGGGACCATCATTAAATGACTTCGAATCACACCGCCTTAGATGATGCTAGAGGGAGTGTCAGACTCTTACTGACTAAAATTCACCCCGTTCCTACACTTGTAACCCGCTTTTACCTGCTGAAGTTGTAAATTGATGCAATCACTTTCAGGAAATTGTGTGTCTTTACCATTCACGGGACCACAGGGTCCCGGTGATTTGGGAGGTGAATAAGGGGCTGAAACCAACTGCACAGAGGCCCTTTCGACAACTTTAATCTAAATGTAAGGGACACAAAAACCAGCTACTATCCCTGTATGCACTATGGAAATGCATCCAAGGATAGTCCCCGGTTAGTGTAGAATTATTGTCGATAATGGAATAAAAGGTAGGACTATGGATGGGTTGCTGTGGCCTGGTAAATTAGAAACTATGGATGACTATGGCACCTGCCGAAAGAATGTAATTATTACACGCAAAAATGGCAGGCGGAGACTCGTCAACTTACCGACCGGACCCCGGGAATGGTTGCTAGATATAGAGACAACAGAACTGTGAGTGGCTGAAGGGCTAAGAAACTACCACCGCTATTTACTCAGATCATCTGTTTCAACCGAAACCTCCAACATCCCTGGACCACTCGCGACTTACGAATAGTTTCAGGAAATTATTATTATTAGAAATCATGCTATGATTACATTAAATCAATCGTAAATAACTAGCGCTCATTAAACGTGTTGCATTCAAATAATGTACCTAATAGATTGTTGAACACGCGATACATACTATTCTAATTAATTTCACAGAATACTAATACGTGTAATGTATCGTATGAACCAGAGAAATAGTAAATTAGTTCGCAATGAAATTGATGATATCGTACTTTGTTAGTAATTTTAGTTTTAACCCAATCTAATAATCTTCTATCTACTATTTATGTGGAACAACATAACAAGGCCTGGTTGTCCTACAGTCAGTGGCACTGTGTGTTGGGTTGTTCCATTCCCAATAAAAAAGGTTGACCGGTCCAATTGCTGACATACACTCGTGAACGAGGGCCTTCTGCTGTGTCAGCTCGGCTCTCCCATCTCGTTATGTTGGTGGCCTGATTTCCTAGAGCCGTCGAAATAGATATAAATATATAATAGCTAATTATTATGTAATTTATATTTTTAGTAATAATTATAGATGTGGTTAATAGTAGTGTGTAACTAGGTAGGTACCTTTTTTACTTTATAAAAATTGACTAGATGTATTGTAATAAAAATTTCTATGACAAGGGCACGGACCTAGAGTCCGTGGATAATTAATCTGTAACATTATAAAAAAAATCAAGGCCTGGTTCTCAAATTGTTGTTTTGTGTCTGGATATGATGTTTATAATATGAATCAGGTAGGAGAAAATATTAACAGCACGATAGAAAATTCCCGTTAAAGAAAAAAGCTTTGTTACTGTAAGAGTCTGTAGCAAAATGCCTCGGTTCTTGTGAACTTAATAGACAATATTTACCTGATAAACATACCTGTATTTCGTTTGAAAATATATTAAACCAATTCTAGTACCCTACTAATATTATATATTTTATCAGGCAGAGGTGCACATTACAGCACTTAATGCCACTGTACAATGTAACACCCACTTTTCATAATTTTATGTTATGAGTCCCATGTAATACGGGGTGACCCTATTATTATACCGAGCATATTTCCAGACTCCGTGTTACTACTGAGATTTAAAAAAAACAGTAATACTATGTCCGAGACGGGAATCGAACGCGAGACCCCTTGCCCGGCAGTCGCACTTGCGA